ATATATATTCCATTTCGGTTTCTTCAGTGTGGGGTGGCGGGGGGGGGGGGGGGGGGGGGGCTGGAAGAGATGCCTGAAAGAAACTCTGCTTGTACATCCTAGCTAACTATGCTGGCCAATGACCGCAACTGGCCCACTAGACCGCGATGGCCTACTAGACCACGATGGCCCGTGACAAACGGCCCAGGTTATCGGCGGGCCGAGGTTTAACTGCCCGCTTTATGGGTGGGCGTGGCTAGGTTGTTGACAGGACCACCCACCAGTACTGACGTCACGACCCACACAGTAAAACAAGACGGGCTGCCATGTTAGAAAGTCTAACCTTACATATTTTATTTTAAATCTTTTCAAATCAAACAAGTGCCATGTTAGATCTAACCGTATATATTTTATTTTAAATCTTTTCAAATCAAACAAGCGCCCAAAACATTTTATTTCAACAAATTCTAGACAACGTTTAATCCAGGAATTTCATACAAACCTGTCGCGGCGAGAAATAAAATCACTATTTAGGTCTAGACCGGTTAAACCAAATCTATATATATAATTCTCTTCTGGGAGCCGTTAGAAAACAAGCTGCAAGCGCGCCTTACAGTCCCCTCTCTTCCTCTCTATCGCTACCACCCCCCACCCCCTCACAGGGTCTGGTGAGCTGTGGTCACGCTGTTTACATTTTACAATCATAGAGACAGGTTTGGTGACGTCAATTAGGGGCAGATAATTTAGTTTGAAACGATTTTAAACTTTGAGGAGGTAACTAAGAGGAGGCTGCTTTCACGTGGAGGGGGGGGGGGGGGTTTAGTGTTTTTAAGCAAATATTTTCAATGGCAGCATTGTTACTGTCGAATTCACAAATTATAAATTACTGAAAAGAAGAATTTAAAAAAAAAACTAAATAGCGGCGTATGATACGCAGCGGGTCGGCTCGTAAAAAAAATAGTTCAAAAACGTTTCTACAACAAGTTTTTATCTAGCAATGTACAAAAAAAGGAGAAAATAAATAATTTTCTTTAAATATATAATAATACATTAGGCCTACTATTTAAATAAGCATAAAGAAAGTGGGTGAGTTTATAATCTATTGGATACCTTTACTAATATTTGAGAAGAGACAAACGCTGTTCTTTAAGGTTATTAATTAATAACAAAAACAAGTTAATAAAAAGTCTAGTGACAATTTAAGCGAAATTTGCTTATGTTATCCATAACAATTTTTAATTTTTTTGTGACCGAACGAAAGGATATTTTTTTGCGCTAAAAAAAAGACAACTACATTAACCTATATCAACGGAAATAGTTTTATTTTAACGAGTAGGCCTACACGCAGTAGCGTACGCAGGGGGGGAGCAGGGGGAGCAGCCGCTCCCCCTCTGGCCATTTTCAGCAAAGTGGCGCCTTTTGGAAACTTTTTAAACTCAAAGTTTTAAACAATGATAATTGTTAAAAAATATTTTTGGTCGGCACATTTATGTAAATCACAAGATTTCTTTTCATGCAGCAATTAAGCATTATTGTACTAGTGTAGTAGTGTCTACGTTTACAACACGTATTAACAGCTGCATCAGTTTGCCATTCTAAAAATAACCATTACGATGCATTGCAATGTTTAAAAAACCTTTACGGGTAGTACCACTTGGCAAGAGGGGTGTTAAGTTTAAGGCAACTGTATAATGTATTTGCTTACGAATAATTGAATTAGAAAATGTTATACATAAATCTTCACACATAATTACTTTATATATACAGTTTGAATTGTATGATTAATTTAAAAAAAAAATTACAATACAGAAACAAATACAACTGATGTAGCACCTCTATTTAAATTTACTTATGAGTAAACTGCGGAGTGGTGGGGAAATTTTGACAAGGTCAACAACGTCATCACGATGAATTAGTAGTATTATGACAGTTTGGGCAATAGTGATTACGATTACAAATTATATGAAACAGTTACAACCCCCCCTCCCCCATGGACCTCTCTTTAAAAAACATATTGTCATAATACCACTGCTACTTATTTAAATCTATTTCTGTAATATATATTTGTGTAATATATATGTATGTTTAGAACAGTCATCTAAAAACTGACGATATGTTCAATCTGAGTTGGTTATCTCCCCCCCCCCCCCCCCCCACACCTCACCACCACAATTGTGTAGAGCGACATTAATGTCACACCTAGGTATACATTGACCTAAAGTGACCGGACAGTGGTGAATGAAGTTGAACCCCCCCCCCCCCCCCCAACCCACCCTGAACTGATCTGTTACGTACAAGTAGAAAAACGCGTAATGATGTACCATAGTATCATGCCGCCAGAAAATTAGCTTCTTAAACGTAAAACTCTGTGAATATTGTTTTTGAAATTACCAGTAAAAAGGTGTGTGATCAATACTGTGATCTAACTATGTTAAAAATGATATTTAAAGAACACAAAGAAGCAGTAGTTGATTAAAAATATATTATCTGAACTAAAAGACCTATAATTAGTTAAATGTAGGCTCTGTTATTCCGAATGTGTTCTATTATTTCGAAAAGCGTGGTTTTATACCAACTCTGATTTTAAAAACTTTCATTATGCTGTAATACTTTAGCATTTATGATGACGATCTTTTAAATTCTGATTATAGACAAAAACATTTTGTAAACACAATGGTGTTAAAAAATTTCTTTATATTCATAAGTAATTATTTATTTGCTTTGACATTTATAATTAAATGTGTAGATATATACATATTTATATTAAGAGAGTGATTATTTCCCCTATTTCACTTGTCTTAAATAATTTCCCAGGAATTATTATGTAAGATTTTTTTTTTTACAAGAATTACAAAACAGATTGTGTTACGTTAATTGTTTTTGGTTGTAGTGTGTGTATATTTTATTTTGTTTAAATTGATACAATTTTTGTTTTGTCGGCCTACATTGTGTTTTTTCTTATTTCTTCAGAGTGCTACTTTCAATTTATTTTACATCATAGCGAAGTATTGACATACAGCTAGTAATTATAATTTTTATATATATATATATATATATATATATATATATATATATATATATATATATATATATATATATATATATATATATATATATATAATACACGTATATAGAACGTGTTAAAAATTCGGCGCCTTTTCTTGCTCTTTTCGCTCCCCCTACAACGAAAACCTGGATACGCCTCTGCCTACACGATGCTCAGTTTAAAAAAAAAACAAGTTAATAAAAAGTCTAGTGACAATTTAAGCGCAATTTTTAATTTTTGTGATCGAACGGAAGGATATTTTTTTGCGCTAAAAACCTAAACGATGCTCAGTTTAAATTAAAAATATCATCCTAGGCCTACACGATGCTCAGTTTAAAAATTATTAATTAATTTTTTGTGACCGAACGAAAGGATATTTTTGAAAACTTTCTTCGGCAATATTGTTCTAAATTATGGCAGTAATCGATTGGTAAATGTTTCAAGTCGCTAAGTGGTCTGGTTGCCGAGATATGGGCAAAAAACTGCATTTTTTCGAGGTTTTTTGGAATTCCGGGAATTTTTTTGGCCCACAATCATCCTCGGAACTTGCTTAACATATTTGCTTTGGAACTAGTCCTCGATATTGCTTCGTTGAGGAGGAGATACGACTTAAAGCTGCGGACACACATCCATCCATCCATCACCAGAAATGACGAGTTAATAATCGCAATTGTCCAGTATGGAAATTGCGCTAAAAAAACTAGTTCTTTAGTTCAAGCATTGGTCGCTCAAGAAATGTTTTTGGCAGAGGCGGCGCTAGGGGGGGGGGGAGGAGTCGCGGATCGTACCGGGTGACACACCCGACCTAACGACGCCACTGGTTTTAGAGACCAATGCCTTTTTTTTCAGAAAATCCCCCCCCCCCCCCCCCCCTATGTTTTATACTTTTTTTTTTCTTTTAGATATTTTAAAGACACGAGTTTGGAGACATTAAAACAACAGTAGTCTACCCTTTAAATTTTTTTTTTACCAGTGCCTAAGCCGACACGCTTACACTAAAGTATTTCCCCCAAACCCCATGAGTAACTCTAGGCGATAGTTATCTGCCCCTCTGTGAGTCTGTGCTAGGATCTCGCGCTAAGTCCGTGACTACAACTTACCCCACTGATGCAGTACAAAGTTGCTACCTATTTTATCTTGTTAGCTCCCGTTTGTTATTGAATTCAGTAATCTTCAAATTTATTTTATTATTTCCTAAATTAGATTAAAAATAAAAGTATTTTAGCGTTGTCATTAGCAGTTAACTTAGGGGTAGTCTAAATTGGTGTAGAGTTTGTCTAAGTTAGTCTAGAGTTTGTCTAAGTTTGTCTAGCGTTTGTCTAAGTTTGTCTAGCGTTTGTCTAAGTTTGTCTAGGTTAGTCTAGAGTTTGTCTAAGTTTGTCTAGAGTTTGTCTAAGTTAGCCTAGAGTTTGTCTAAGTTAGTCTAGAGTTTGTCTAATTTTGTCTAAGTTAGTCTAGAGTTTGTCTAAGTTAGTCTAGGTTAGTCTAGAGTTTGTCTAAGTTAGTCTAGAGTTTGTCTAAGTTAGTCTAGAGTTTGTCTAAGTTTGTCTAAGTTAGTCTAGAGTTTGTCTAAGTTAGTCTAGGTTAGTCTAGAGTTTGTCTAGGTTAGTCTAGAGATTGTCTAAGTTAGTCTAGAGTTTGTCTAAGTTAGTCTAGAGTTTGTCTAAGTTAGTCTAGAGTTTGTCTAAGTTAGTCTAGAGTTTGTCTAAGTTAGTCTAGAGTTTGTCTAGGTTAGCCTAGAGTTTGTCTAAGTTAGTCTAGAGTTTGTCTAAGTTAGTCTAGAGTTTGTCTAAGTTAGTCTAGAGATTGTCTAAGTTAGTCTAGAGTTTGTCTAAGTTAGTCTTTACACCGTGACGTAAACTGTATAGTCTACAACCAACTCACTAATATTAGATGACAATGTTGCATGCGATCTAGGGAATAATAGATACAAATTAGAGACAGAACTATAGATACAGATAATAAAGTTACTTACTACAATCTATGGTCCATCCTGTGTTACACACACACAACACCAAATATGGTCCACACACACACCAGTACACATGGTCAACACACACATGGTCGGCCTCCTGACACCCACCACACACCACCACACACCACCACACGTCCTCGCACACGACACTCACCGGGTGAACACCAATCACTCAATAACACAACACACAGCCAAGGCCTGCAACTCTGTTAGGGGTATCTGTCATTCTACACACACACAGCTACTCAACACACACACACACACAAACAAATACTCAACCAGCGGGGGGGGGGGGGGCTCGGCTAGAGACTTTCAATATAGAAACACCACACTAGGAAATGATAGCCGGAGCTGGACCTCACAAACCGGCTGGCCGGAACTGGAGCCCACGCCTCACTCAGCCCATCACATCGTCCAACACGTCTGACACGCGACAATTGTTTGTTTATCCCGCCCTGATTGTTGTCACTAATTAACGCCCTTGTTGACAGTTCTTGCCCTTTGATTAATGGCGGAAAATGGAAGGACGCCTTATTAACAGTCAATTCAGCATTAAGTCATGTCGGCATTAAGTCATGTCGGCATTAAGTAATGTCGGCATTAAGTCATGTCGGCATTAACTCATGTTACCAGTTATGTAATTCCGCATTAAGTCATCTCGGCAGATTTGTAATGTCCGCATGAAGTCATGTCGGCAGATGACTGACCGATTGACTTAGACTACAAAAATGCCATGTCAAACGACTCAAATAACGTTCTTTAATCAACCTAAGCCTAGTCCTAAAATAAGACACGTAACATTACCCCCCCCCCCCCTTCAGCCGATCACCTTCCTAACACTAAAGTAAAACCTCACATTATGCGAGGCATATCAAAGACATCTCTCAACATGTCGACCCAACCACTAATTACTTACCTAATATTTACTGGACACAACCATTAATTACTTATCTAATATTTACTGGACCCAACCACTAATTACCTACCTAATATTTACTGAACCCAACCACTAATTACTTACCTAATATTTACTGGACCCAACCACTAATTACTTACCTAATATTTACTGGGCCCAACCACTAATTACTTATCTAATATTTACTGAACCCAACCACTAATTACTTACCTAATATTTACTGGGCCCAACCACTAATTACTTATCTAATATTTACTGGACCTAACCACTAATTACTTACCTAATATTTACTGGACACAACCACTAATTACTTACCTAATATTTACTGGACCCAACCACTAATTACTTACCTAATATTTACTGGACCCAAACACTAATTACTTATCTAATATTTACTGGACCCAACCACTAATTACTTACCTAATATTTACTGGACCCAACCACTAATTACTTATCTAATATTTACTGAACCCAACCACTAATTACTTACCTAATATTTACCGTTTACCCTGGATGTCTAGCAACAAAAAATTAAACTTTCTCTGAATGTAAAACAACATCAGTACACTCTGTGACCAACATTTGTTTTGGACCAAACTTTGTTTTGTGTGTTTGTTGGATTTTGTCAACAGTGTTTCTTCCAGACTTTTTTTTCCGAGGGGGCACTTGAAATTTTCGGGGGGGGGGGGGGGGGGGTGGACACTGTTAACAATATATATTTTCTATATAAATTTCATTTCGTTCGGGGGGGGGGGGGGGTAGAGTTTCTTAGGGGGGGGGGGGGGGGAGGGAAACTGGCTGTCAATATCCTAACATTTGCCACATAATTTGTTAGCTTGACACTGTCATCATCCATTGAATTTCAGCCAACTACTCACTTGAACTAAATTGTTCAAAATTTGAGCTTTACACTACTGACTGAAATGACCACCCACTAAGATGACTACTGACTGAAATAACAAATAAAATAACGACTGACTAATATGACGAGTGACTAAAATGACGATTGACTAATATGACGATTGACTAATATGACGAGTGACTAAAATGACAAGTGACTAATATGACAATTGACTAATATGACGATTAACTAAAATGACGAGTGACTAATATGACGAGTGACTAAAATGACGAGTGACTAAAATGACGAGTGACTAAGATGACGAGTGACTAAAATGACGAGTGACTAAACTGACGAGTGACTAATATGACGAGTGACTAAAATGACGAGTGACTAAAATGACGAGTGACTAAGATGACGAGTGATTAAAATGACGATTGACTAATATGACGAGTGACTAAAATGACGAGTGACTAAAATGACGAGTGACTAAGATGACGAGTGACTAAAATGACGAGTGATTAAAATGACGATTGACTAATATGACGAGTGACTAAAATGTCGATTGACTAACTTTGACGAGTGACTATTGTAACGAGTGACTAATGAAGAGTGACTAAGATGACGAGTGACTAACATGCCCAGTGTCCCCTCTCTCCCCAGAGAACAGTTTCCAGCTGAGCAACGTGCCCGAGTCTTGCCGCTCCCTCACGCTGTGCCCCTGTAGCTCCGCCAGCTGTACCGCCTACTCCCGCGCCCCCTCGCCCTACACCCGGGGCTCGCTGGCCTCCCTGTCCGCTGTCCACGCCATCCAGCCGCCCAACTACCCCCTCAGCACCTCGTCCGACGCCCTGCCAGGTAGGTGCTCACGTGGCTTATGACGTCATCTCACCTGGGTGGATGGCTTGTCTTGATATGTTGATACAACTTACCTGTGTTATGTTGATACAAATTACCTATGTTGATATGTTGATACAAGTTACCTGTGTTGATATGTTGATACAGCTACCTGTGTTGATATGTTGATACAAGTTACCTGTGTTGTTATGTTGATACAAGTTACCTGTGTTGATATGTTGATACAAGTTACCTGTGTTGATATGTTGATACAACTTACCTGTGTTGATATGTTGATACAAGTTACCTGTGTTGATATGTTGATACAAGTTACCTGTGTTGATATGTTGATACAGCTACCTGTGTTGATATGTTGATACAAGTTACCTGTGTTGATATGTTGATACAGCTACCTGTGTTGATATGTTGATACAGCTACCTGTGTTGATATGTTTATACAAGTTACCTGTGTTGATATGTTGATACAGCTACCTGTGTTGATATGTTGATACAGCTACCTGTGTTGATATGTTGATACAAGTTACCTGTGTTGATATGTTGATACAAGTTACCTGTGTTGATATGTTGATACAACTTCCCTGTGTTGTTATGTTTATACAACTTACCTGTGTTGATACAAGTTACCTGTGTTGATATGTTGATACAAGTTACCTGTGTTGATATGTTGATACAACTTACCTGTGTTGATACAACTTACCTGTATTGCAGGCCCCTACTCCATCCTGAGCACCGACGGGTCGCCTAGCAACCAGCCCAAGCGGAAGAGGTCCTGGTCACGTGCCGTCTTCTCCAACCTCCAGAGGAAGGGACTGGAGAAAAGGTTCGAGGTGCAGAAGTACGTCACCAAGCCGGACCGACGGCAGCTGGCGGCCATGTTGGGCCTGACCGACGCACAGGTAGGTCACGTGACACGTCACCCCTGACTGACGGGTGTAACAAGTTGTGACGGGTGTGGCAAGTTGTGACGGATGTGACAAGTTGTGACGGGTGTGACAAGTTGTGACGGGTGTGACAAGTTGTGACGGGTGTGACAAGTTGTGACGGGTGTGACAAGTTGTGACGGGTGTGACAAGTTGTGACGGGTGTGACAAGTTGTGACGGGTGTGACAAGTTGTGCCGATTAGATTGATGACGTGTCCCTCTTGTTTGCTCTAGGTGAAGGTGTGGTTCCAGAACCGCCGCATGAAGTGGCGACACGCCCAGCAGCAGGGGGAGAAAGACAAACAGCTGCAACAGCCGCTGGTGGAGGAACAGCCCGACACGCCGGCACGACGCGAGACCAAAATAGAAACGGGGAAATCCCCAATCGGCGACACGTCATCACAAATAGCAGAGAGGGGAGGGGAGCGAACCCACGACCCACATGACGTCATCAGCAGCAGGAGTTACCTGCCCGACATGGCGGACAGCCCCACCCCTCCCGCCCACACCAACTTGCTGTTGAAGTCTGAGCACGGCGGCCATCTTGAGCCCTACAGCGTCGGTAACAACCTGACGTCACATGACGGCCGGACCCACACGTTCAGCGATACGCCAAACTACGACAGCGATTTCGTGATGACGTCACTGTGTCGTGCCCGACGGGGTTCGGGTGACGTCAGCGTGGGCAGTGATGACGACAGTGGGGACAGTCTGCAGATTGCCACTAGACACGAGATCTCGGGCCACCAGATCTCGGGCCACGAGATTTCAGGACGAGACTCGGCGAGTTTTGACGAGGACGCGAGCATGAGGGAGATTGACGTGGACAACTAGCTGTCAAGTGGTGTCAACAACTCGACCCCCCCCCCCCTCCCCGCCTGTCCATGGGAATGTCCCGGGTTCAAAACTGACCGGGACAAGAAGGGACAAATGTGACACGCTGGGCCACCAATGGACTGACTTAAACAACGGGACTTACAAGTACCAGTCGCTGGAGACCCCCCCCCCCCCCCCCTGATACAGAGAGGGTGAGCAGGACATGGCGCCAACCAATGGTACACTTGGATCTCTTGTACACATCTTGTGACGTCACCATTGTGTGTGTTAACACATCTATTGTGGATGTGCTGGTAATTCCAATGGAACTGTGTGTACATATCACTGTACGAAGTCAGTGTTGAACTGTGTGTACATATAACTGTACGAAGTCAGTGTTGAACTGTGTGTACATATAACTGTACGAAGTCAGTGTTGAACTGTGTGTACATATCACTGTACGAAGTCAGTGTTTAAATAAAAAGATTTATCAACATGTCTAGAGTTTGTGGGGTGAATCTCATGACATGTATTGACATTGTGGGGTTAATCTCATGACATGTGTTGACATTGTGGGCTAAGTGAAACTGATGACAATTAGTGACATTAATATTAACCAGCTAAACGCTTTTCGAAATTAGTAACAGCGTACGATCAACCCACCAACAACTTACACCCCCCCCCCCCCCCCCAAACACACAAACAACTATCACCACATGAAGATGATCCAACAAAAATTTTGGTCAACACAAATTTTATAAACTTTTAAAATCAGCACGAAGATTGGGAATGTACATATTTACATTAGTTACATTATGTACATAAACTACACGTACACAAACTATTGTACACGTACACAATTACTGCACAATCAAAGTAAAGAATGCTGTGGTGTCCTGTTTGTGTGGGGACAGTCTGGTGTCCTTACAGGTTTGTGTGGGGACAGTCTGGTGTCCTTACAGGTTTGTGTGGGGGCAGTCTGGTGTCCTTACAGGTTTGTGTGGGGACAGTCTGGCGTCCTGTTTGTGTGGGGACAGTCTGGTGTCCTTACAGGTTTGTGTGGGGACAGTCTGGTGTCCTTACAGGTTTGTGTGGGGACAGTCTGGTGTCCTTACAGGTTTGTGTGGGGACAGTCTGGTGTCCTTACAGGTTTGTGTGGGGACAGTCTGGTGTCCTTACAGGTTTGTGTGGGGACAGTCTGGTGTCCTTACAGGTTTGTGTGGGGACAGTCTGGTGTCCTTACAGGTTTGTGTGGGGACAGTCTGGTGTCCTGTTTGTGTGGGGACAGTCTGGTGTCCTTACAGGTTTGTGTGGGGACAGTCTGGTGTCCTGTTTGTGTGGGGACAGTCTGGTGTCCTTACAGGTTTGTGTGGGGACAGTCTGGTGTCCTTACAGGTTTGTGTGGGGACAGTCTGGTGTCCTTACAAGTTTGTGTGGGGACAGTCTGGTGTCCTTACAGGTTTGTGTGGGGACAGTCTGGTGTCCTTACAGGTTTGTGTGGGGACAGTCTGGTGTCCTTACAGGTTTGTGTGGGGACAGTCTGGTGTCCTGTTTGTGTGGGGACAGTCTGGTGTCCTTACAGGTTTGTGTGGGGACAGTGGTGTCCTTACAAGTTTGTGTGGGGACAGTCTGGTGTCCTTACAGGTTTGTGTGGGGACAGTCTGGTGTCCTTGCAGGTTTGTGTGGGGACAGTCTGGTGTCCTTACAGGTTTGTGTGGGGACAGTCTGGTGTCCTCTTTGTGTGGGGACAGTCTGGTGTCCTTACAGGTTTGTGTGGGGACAGTCTGGTGTCCTTACAATTTTGTGTGGGGACAGTCTGGTGTCCTTACAGGTTTGTGTGGGGACAGTCTGGTGTCCTTACAGGTTTGTGTGGGGACAGTCTGGTGTCCTTACAGGTTTGTGTGGGGACAGTCTGGTGTCCTCTTTGTGTGGGGACAGTCTGGTGTCCTTACAGGTTTGTGTGGGGACAGTCTGGTGTCCTTACAAGTTTGTGTGGGGACAGTCTGGTGTCCTTACAGGTTTGTGTGGGGACAGTCTGGTGTCCTTGCAGGTTTGTGTGGGGACAGTCTGGTGTCCTTACAGGTTTGTGTGGGGACAGTCTGGTGTCCTGTTTGTGTGGGGACAGTCTGGTGTCCTTACAGGTTTGTGTGGGGACAGTCTGGTGTCCTGTTTGTGTGGGGACAGTCTGGTGTCCTTACAGGTTTGTGTGGGGACCGTCTGGTGTCCTTACAGGTAGACTTGTAGACTTGCTGACGTTCAACTTGAAGGTAATTTTTGGTCTCGCTACATCCGCCATGATACCCGCCTGAAATTAATAAAACAACAACTCAGCGTGACGTCATCAACTGAAGCTTAGATGCATAAAGCGGGAGTGAGTTCCCCATTGTACCACGATGGTTGAGATGGTATTTTTCTGTGGAGTCTGGCTAAAGAAATGGCTGTTAGATCAAAGTCTGAAACTCAAACGTTTCTTTAATGAGAAAACACACAGAAATGAGGAAATGTTCACAGAATGTGAATTAAATTTCATATACATCATCACGTTTTGAAGGTTCTGAGATATCGTAAATAGAGTACCACTTCCGGTTACCGAAAATTGCTCAAAAGTTCAAGAAAACCCGACGACCAAAGAGGTTGATGACCTAGTTGGCGATCAAGTAAACGGTTTTTACTCAGTCGCGTGTCTTTATTAGAAAGAGCAGTTGACCCACACAGCCGAGGTCACGTCTTAATTAGCCTAAAGTCAACATCTCTTAATTAATTAAATTGTTAATAGGATTCAAGCACAAGTGAAAAAAGGCTGTAAGTCACAAGTGGCTGGTGCTGGTATATAATTTAATTTACAGTTAGATCAGTTGTGATTACCTGACGTATCTTTTAGCCGATTGGCGGAACTAGGGGGTGCATGGGGCGCCAACCCGCCCACTTCAATACAAGTAACGCTATACTTACTTACTTAATCCTCATCACTCCCTGTGGAGTATAGGGCAGCAACAAATCTCCGCCATTCCACCCTGTCCTGGGCGAGCCACTTTAGTTCATGCCAGGTTTTGCCAGTAACCTGTACTTCTTCTTCCATCTCCCTCCTCCATGTTCCCAGTGGTCTTCCTCTATTTCGCTTTCCGGGTAGGTTCCACTTCAGCGCCATGTTGGGGAGTCTTTTTTTGCTCATGTGTTGGACATGGCCCAGCCATCTCCATCTCCTCATTCGAACTTCTGAAACAATGTCGTTTAATCCTGTCCTTCGCCATATTTCCTTGTTCGGGACTGTATCGTCCCACTTTATTCTGAGGATTAAAGTAACGCTATACCCTATGAGAATGGTAAAACGTTCCATGACGTCACAATTAGATAGATGTTCTATGTAGCCACACTTGGTCTGATGTTCTAGGTAGCCACACTTGGTCTGATGTTCTAGGTAGCCACACTTGGACTGATGTTCTAGGTAGCCACACTTGGTCTGATGTAGCCACACTTGGCCTGATGTTCTAGGTAGCCACACTTGGACTGATGTTCTAAGTAGCCACACTTGGTCTGATGTAGCCACACTTGGTCTGATGTAGCCACACTTGGCCTGATGTTCTAGGTAGCCACACTTGGTCTGATGTTCTAGGTAGCCACACTTGGTCTGATGTTCTAGGTAGCCACACTTGGCCTGATGTTCTAGGTAGCCACACTTGGTCTGATGTTCTAGGTAGCCACACTTGGCCTGATGTTCTAGGTAGCCACACTTGGCCTGATGTTCTAGGTAGCCACACTTGGACTGATGATCTAGGTAGCCACACTTGGTCTGATGTTCTAGGTAGCCACACTTGGTCTGATGTTCTAGGTAGCCACACTTGGTCTGATGTTCTAGGTAGCCACACTTGGACTGATGTTCTAGGTAGCCACACTTGGTCTGATGTAGCCACACTTGGTCTGATGTAGCCACACTTGGCCTGATGTTCTAGGTAGCCACACTTGGTCTGATGTTCTAGGTAGCCACACTTGGTCTGATGTTCTAGGTAGCCACACTTGGCCTGATGTTCTAGGTAGCCACACTTGGTCTGATGTTCTAGGTAGCCACACTTGGCCTGATGTTCTAGGTAGCCACACTTGGACTGATGTTCTAGGTAGCCACACTTGGTCTGATGTTCTAGGTAGCCACACTTGGTCTGATGTTCTAGGTAGCCACACTTGGTCTGATGTTCTAGGTAGCCACACTTGGCCTGATGTTCTAGGTAGCCACACTTGGCCTGATGTTCTAGATAGCCACACTTGGTCTGATGATCTAGGTAGCCACACTTGGTCTGATGTTCTAGGTAGCCACACTTGGTCTGATGTTCTAGGTAGCCACACTTGGTCTGATGTTCTAGGTAGCCACACTTGGTCTGATGATCTAGGTAGCCACACTTGGCCTGATGTTCTAGGTAGCCACACTTGGTCTGATGTTCTAGGTAGCCACACTTGGTCTGATGTTCTAGGTAGCCACACTTGGCCTGATGTTCTAGGTAGCCACACTTGGTCTGATGATCTAGGTAGCCACACTTGGCCTGATGTTCTAGGTAGCCACACTTGGTCTGATGTTCTAGGTAGCCACACTTGGTCTGATGTTCTAGGTAGCCACACTTGGCCTGATGTTCTAGGTAGCCACACTTGGTCTGATGTTCTAGGTAGCCACACTTGGCCTGATGTTCTAGGTAGCCACACTTGGCCTGATGTTCTAGGTAGCCACACTTGGACTGATGATCTAGGTAGCCACACTTGGTCTGATGTTCTAGGTAGCCACACTTGGTCTGATGTTCTAGGTAGCCACACTTGGTCTGATGTTCTAGGTAGCCACACTTGGACTGATGTTCTAGGTAGCCACACTTGGTCTGATGTAGCCACACTTGGTCTGATGTAGCCACACTTGGCCTGATGTTCTAGGTAGCCACACTTGGTCTGATGTTCTAGGTAGCCACACTTGGTCTGATGTTCTAGGTAGCCACACTTGGCCTGATGTTCTAGGTAGCCACACTTGGTCTGATGTTCTAGGTAGCCACACTTGGCCTGATG